GGCCAAGTCGGAGGGCCAAGTCGGGTTTGGCCAAGTCGGGGGCCAAGTGGGGGCCAAGTCGGGGGCCAAGTCGGCGGGCCAAGTCGGGGGCCAAAGTCGGGGGCCAAAGTCGGGGGGCCAAGTCGGGGGCCAAGTCGGGGGCCAAGTCGGGGGCCAAGTCGGGGGCCAAGTCGGGGGCAACGTCGGGGGGCCAGTCGGGGGCAAGTCGGGGGCAAGTCGGGGGCCAAGTCGGGGGCCAAGTCGGGGGCCAAGTCGGGGCCAAGTGGGGCCAAGTCGGGGGGCCAAGTCGGGGGCCAAGTCGGGGGCCAAGGTCGGGGGCCAAGTCGGGGCCAAGTCGGGGGGCAAGTCGGGGGCCAAGTCGGGGCCAAGTCGGGGGCCAAGTCGGGGGCCAAGTCGGGGGCCAAGTCGGCGGGCCAAGTCGGGGCCAAATCGGGGTCCAGCGGGGCCAAGTCGGGGGGCCCAAGTCGGGCGTTCCAAGTCGGGGGCCAAAGTCCGGAGGGCCATGTCGGGGGCGCAAGTCGGGGGCAAGTCGTCATTTCAGCAATGCTGTGCTGGGGGGCGCGGGCGCGCGGAGCTGGCGGCGCAATGTGGGCCGGTAGCCGCCGGGCGGCTAGCCCTGCTGCCTGGGCGGCATGTGCCTGTGTGGGGGGGCGCGGGCCTAGCCGCGGGCGGCTAGCCCTGCTTGCTGGGCCGAATGCCTGTGCCTGGGGGGGCGCGGGCTAGGCCGCCGGGCGGCAGCCCGTGCTTGCCTGGGCGCAATGCCTTGGTGCTGGGGGGGTGCGCGGCTAAGCCAGCGGGCGCTAGCCCTGCTTGCTGGGCGCTATGCCTGTGCTGTGATGGGGGGGCGGACTTTGGTAAGACTGAATGGCCGCCGGACGGCTAGCCTGCTTGTGGGCGCACTGCTGTGCTGGGGGGCGCGGGCTAGCCGCCGGGCGCTAGCCCTGCTTGCTTGGGCGCAATTGCCTGTGCTGGGGGCGGGGGGTATGCCCGGGAGCGGCTAGCCCTGTTGCTGGGCGCAATGCCTGTGCTGGGGGGCGGCGGGCTAGCGCGCCGGGCGGCTAGCCCGTGCTTGCTGGGCGCAATGCTGTGTGGGGGGCGCGCGGGCTAGCGCCGGGCGGCTAGCCCTGCTATGCTGGGGCGCAATGCTGTGCTGGGGGGGCGCGGGCTAGCCGCCGGGACGGCTAGCCCTGCTTGCTGGGCGCAATGCTGTGCTGGGGGGGCGCGGGTATCCGGCCGGGCGGCTAGCCTGCATTGCTGGGGCAGGTCTGGGCGCGGTAGCGGGCGCAGCGTGCTGCTGGGCGCAATGCTTGCTGGGGGCGGGGCTAAGCCGCCGTCTTTTGTTAGACGATTAGCAGCTAGCTAGGCGTTAGACATTAGCAATTAGGCATTGTGTTTTTTTTTTTTCTTCTATTGGGTGTAGTAAAACTGTTTTGTTTTTTATTTTGTTTTTATGTGGGGGTGTAAGCAATTAGCAGCTATCATTAGCAGAGCAGCATTAGCAGGCTATCATTAAGCAATAGCAATTAGCATTTTTTTTCCTCTACTTGGTCAAACATGGACGGGGGGGCTAGCTTGTTAGCATTAGCAGCTAGCCGTTAGCATTTTTTTTTTTTTTTTTAAATTCTTTATTGGTGTAAAAAATATAGATAGACAGAATATGATGGGGTGGGGTGGTAGCATTAGTAGCCTACATTAGCAGATGAGCATTAAGCATTGTATTTTTTTTCCTCTATTGGTCAGCATGGATGGGGGGGCTAGCTTGTTAGCATTAGAGCTAGCTAGCGTTAGCAATTTTTTTTTTTTTTTTAAATTCTTTAATTGGTGTAAAAAACACAGACAAGCAGAATATGGGGGTGGGGTGTCAGCATTAGCAGCTATCATTAGCAGATAGCATTAGCATTAGCATTTTTTTTCCCTCTATTGGTCAACACAGACGGGGGGGCTAGCTTGTTAGCATTAGCAGCTAGCTAGCATTAGCATTAGCATTTATTTTCTTTTTAATTATTTATTGGTGTAAAAAATCACAGATAAGCTAAGTCGGGGGCTAAGTCGTTCAGACAAGGCCTGCACTGGGGGGGGGGGTCGCGAGCTAGCCGCCGTTCCCGTTTTTTTTTATTTTTTTTATTTTTTTTTTAAATCTTGTGAAAAGTAGTGACAAACAGAACAGAGGGAGTGGGGGGTAGCTTGCTAGCATTAGCAGCTAGCATTAGCATTAGCATTTTTTTTCTTCTTTTTTTGGTTATTGGTGAAAAAAACATGGACAAACAGAACAGAGGGGGTGGGGGGTAGCTTGCTAGCATTAGCAGCTAGCATTAGCATTAGCATTTCTTTTTTTCTTTTTTTGGTTATTGGTGAAAAAAACATGTACAAACAGAACAGAGGGGGTGGGGGGTAGCTTGCTAGCATTAGCAGCTAGCATTAGCATTTATTTTTTTATTTTTTTGGTTATTGGTGAAAAAACATGGACGAACAGAACACAGGGGCTAGCTTGCTAGCATTAGCAGCTAGCATTAGCATTAGCAATTTATTTATTCTACTTTTATTGGTGAAAAAAACAGGGACAACAGAGGGGTGGGGCAAGCTTGCTAACATTTGCATTTAGCACTGATCATCAGGAGTAGCGTCTTTTCTACAATAATGATTACAGTTATAATGCTAACAATGATATACAATAAATAAATGATGATAATGGTGGCAATGTGCGTGTACAGTATATAGACAGCCCCCCACCCCCCATTTTCATTAGCTCTAGCATTAGCAGGTGGCTTGCTCTTGCTGGCATTTTTCATTGATAAATGAATTTAAAAATTTCATAAGACTGCAAAATGATAAGTGGGGGTGCTAGTTGCTATCATTAACATTAGCTTTTTTTGTATTGGTGAAAACAAACACAAGGTGACGCCACATCTTCGAGGTGGACCCCCAGAGGTGCCTGTTGTCTCATTGAGGCATAGTGGTCGTCGCTGGAGGGGAAGCACAGGATGCTTGGCCTCACTGTTGCCAAGGTGATCCAGAGGATCTCCTGAGAGTGGAGGCTCCACTGTTGGAGGAGAACACATGGGGCAGAGGAGACGGCCCTCCTCATCCAGGATCTCCACATCACCCTGGACGTCTCTTTCCTGGAGTCTCTCTGCATCCAGGACATATGGAGTACACAGAGGCACCATCTCAGCTGCATTCAGGACCCAGCGGGTGTGCAGGGGCGGGGTCAGCCTTCCGGTTTCCACCTAATCCAGTTCATCCCAGGTACATGCGTGTGTCCCGTAGCTTGTGGTTAAGTATATTGTGTATTATCATTTCCTGCAAACATAAAATTCATTTTTGATCCAAAACCTTTTTCCTCAAGCCAGTGCCAAGTACTTCCAAGCTCCTGGCAACACCTGCCAGACAGAGCAGGAGGAATAGCGAGTTGTCTTCCCTCCCAGATACCAGGAGAGGCAGCCCAGGTGACAGTTCAAGGCAGCGACGGGGAAGAACACCTCCTGTCCTGGGAAGGAGAGTCTCCAGAGGTGAGATTCACTTCAGATATCACTTTTTCTGCTAATTAATATCAGATCTATATTAACACACTGCTCTGATTATTTTTCAGCTGTCTTCTTGGACTGAACTTGGGCCCTGCAAACTGGGCCAGTCTTAGCCGCCTGGTGGAGGCACGTGGTCCAGAGCGACCGTGAGGACTCGGTGGTCATTTATTCTCAAGGATTATGTGGCCATCAGAGAGGCAGTGCTGGCCGGCCCGAGGTTGGTGGCTCAGACCAACGTCCAGCTCTTTGAATTAAATTGAGGACTCAGTGGTAAGAGTTTGTCATAAAGCTGTGTTGGTGTGTTGTAATCTGTTCTGTGATTTATCTTTTAATGAAAGCTGAAAATCCTAAAACAGTCTGTGTTTGTCTGTGTGTTCCAGGTGCTGGCCAGACTCTCCCTTCAGCAAAGGGTCTATCATTAGTACAGGTGGGACAAGGACAGCCCTTAAACTTCATTGTCCCATGTGAGTGTTTGTCCGCTATAAGGAGCAGATGGTGGCGATGGAGACGCCCTGACGTCACACACATCATCATTAATCTCACACACACACATGCACAGAAAACAAAATGTAAAAGCTAAACATGATGTTGGGTGCAACAAAAACTTCTATAGAACAAAATCTAGGAAAAAAAAATAAATTAGAATTACTTCACATTTAGAAGAATTTAATTATGGAATTGCTTGGCAATATCTTATATTACCTATATTTAATATGTAATTCCATAATCAAAGTCCTCATTATGTGCAAAGTTTATCTGAAGCTGATATGAGGCCTCAGCAGTTGGATTTAGACAAATCAGGTGTGGATCTTCCAAAATTTCTGTGCTTTTAGCTCGACATTCCCTCCTTGTGTTTCCCTGTTGAGCTGCAGTAGAAGGATAGTGACAAAAAAGGTTGTAACTTTGGACAACATCCACTTAACTTGTCAGCTAAAGTCACTCATTAGCTCTGAATACTTTTTTTGTCCCCCATCACCTACAAAGTGCAGTGGAAATGGATCTTTTAATAGCCAGTGAGATCAAGTGTTGTTATTGAAATAAGTTAATTTTATGTAGTTAGTGATTGCTTCCTAAAAGTTACTGAATTAAGCCACACACAGCTCATAAACTGTTTATCCCTTTTCTCTCACACACACACACTTTCACTGACCCTTCTTAGCACTTAGCAGCAGATGTGTTTAGACGCTAATGATTATAAACTTGTCATCGCCAATGATTGACCATCTGTACGTGTGTGTGTGTGTGTGTGTGTGTGTGTGTGTGTGTGTGTGCATGGACTCTGGTCCACATGAGCATCTGCTGTACACCACTGCTCAGCCATCCCACACACTCCATTATCCCCTAGCACAGTGTGTGTGTCAGCTCTGCAGGTGCCACATTAAGGTGATGTGTTTAATCATCAATTCAAGCAAGGGACTGCCCTCTTCACACTTACATGTGACACTCTGTCTCCGGCTTTCAGTGAGGTCAGCGCGTGGTTCAGCTGAGAAGGGACTTTTAGCGAGGGCTGGAGTGTGTGTTAAACTGTGTGTGTTAGTGAGACCAGTTTTTCTTCCTTAGTTCTTAGGGAGTTTTTAGGGAGTGTAATGTGTTCTTCTTGGTGCTTGTGGTGTTTGCAGAGTAGGTCTACAGAGTCAGGTTGTGAGAGTGTAAATCAGTAGTCTGATGAGACTCTTATCGCACAGGTGTAAGGGTTAGATTCAGCAGGTGTGTGTATGTGTGTGGCTGTAAGAAAGGAGGATATACCAGAGGCAAACGTGTGTGTTTTTGCTGCTATTTTTAAGTGTGTTTGTATTTTTGTGAACACTGAGGATGTCTAATTCTACCATCAACTTCTACGCCCTATCACAGTCCTTCAGCGTCTCTGACATCATTGTAATAGCAACCTACTTTCTTCTCAACCTCGCTGTCGGCATCTGGGTAAGAGTCAGAGCTGAATATATATATATGTGTGTGTGTATGTGTGCATGTGTGTTTCTCTACAGTTTATGTGGCATGTGTGTGCCTTTTTTCTCTATCAGTCATCATGCAGGGTGAGCAGGAATACTCTGAGCGGATATTTTTTGGCTGGACGGGACATGGCCTGGTGGCCGGTGAGTGTGTGTTTTAATCTCATCCTCTGTCCTGTAACATCTGTAACATCTGTAACACTCCTGGTCTTGTTTTAGTAGATGAAGCAAAATGTCTGGATTATAAAATTTTATCTACTGTCTGAGTCTTTTTTAGATTTGAATTTTCACATCTTAGATGGCAAAACTGATTCATAAAGGGTTTATTAGATTTAATTAGTGGATTTATTAACGGTTAATAAATCATTTACCAGCTACAAGAAATGAATAAGTGCAACGATTTAGTTGCCACGTTTTGGAAAACTGCTTGTCTTTCAAGCTTCCTTTTTAATTCATTAGGGAGATGCCTTCAAATGACAGTTTGAGCACTTATCTGCAGGTATTCTCGACCAAAATCCATTTATAAACTGCTTATTACGTTTACAACTGCCAACATATCATGGTATGACCTTTTATTATCTTATACAGAGAGTTTGACTATGGCTGCTAATATGTGTGCAAAAATTTAACTGGTACAAAGGTAGAGAGAACAACAAAGTAATGAAATGTTGATGATGTGTAAAATAAAAATGTACCCACACAAAATATGAATAAAAAGTCAAAGTTTTGACAAGCAAATGTCATAAAGGTGACAAAAGGTTGAGAAGTTTCAATTCTTGGGGTGTTTTGCCTTGTGCAGAACGGAAGATTTTTCTGATAAACTGACAAAAGTACCTTGTTGTGAATATCAGGAAGGAGATGAATGTAGATTAGTGATACTGATATTGGGCATGATAACAGACAGACTGCTGCTGGGCTACAATTGTCAGACAAATATGAATCCTGTACTTGGAATGCAATCTGTAGTCCACCACAATTCAGATGGAAATGTTGTTACTTTTTACTCCATCCATCTGATGACTGGTTACTTTTAAATTGAGATTTTACAATAAACAACATGATAAACCTCTTTTGACTTGAGACCCCTGTTTCTCATTGGGCTCCTCATTTGATTCAGATGACTGTGAGTTGTCAGCACTTCCACTAAACTATGTTTGAGTCCCAAAGAGATAAAAGTATCCAATAATTCACAAAAAACAAAGAGAGAAACGAATTTGTCTAGCAGTAACTTGCTTTCTCTTCTTTCATCTCCTTAATCATCTCATGACACCTCAGATTTATGCTGTGACTCTCTCTCTGGAGTTAGTTCAAACTGACTTCACCTCAACCAGCTCGAGCAGTCAAACACTTCCTGTGCACCGATGCATCATCAATAATGTAGTATATACTAGACCTACATTTATCTGCAGATTTTGATACTTGAAGTACATTTTACTTCTACTACTGTAACAGTATTTTTACGTTGTGGTATTGCCACTTGAGTAACAGATGTGGACACTTCTTCCATCACTGCTGTTTACAGATCGGAGCGTCTCTTTTTGCCAGTTCAGAGGGCTCAGGTCTGTTTATTGGTCTGGCTGGGACTGGAGCTGCAGGAGGCATCGCTGTCACTGGTTTTGAATGGAACGTGAGTTAAAAACACACATGCACACATGACATGCTGTTCTAGTTTATCTGTTAATCATACGTAAACACATTAGAGTCTGGAATGAAGCAGATCTAGCCTGCTAATCCATTTACAAGTTGTTTCTTTTGTGGTGTGCTGATGAAACAAATACAAACTATTTGGGCAAGAAAACATTAACACACCTTCAATGACTATTTCCTTTTATAACTGAAAAGATAAATAAATGACATAAGCAGAGCAATAGTTATATTATCTCTTAAAACATGGCTGTCCAGACCAAAGAGATGAAACTACTTTTGCAGTGTGTTTGTGTTTGAACATCTGTCAACAGATGTAACAGACAACCAGCAGCAGGGGGCAGCAGCAGAACCTTTTAAATGCCATCCAGCTGTATTAGGTGCTGAACATGAGGCTTGAGTCCATCCACAGTACCAGTACAAAGACTTGCAGAGCACTTAAAGAGTTAAATGTTTTTCCTCAGTTTGACCAGAGAGATTTTTCCTCCTGCGGTGACTGACTGTGGCAATCAAGTCGTACTTCTCTGTCCTCTCTGTCTCTTCTCCTCTCTCAGGCCACCTATGTTTTGCTTGCTCTGGCCTGGTTATTTGTACCTGTCTACATCTCCTCAGGGGTTCGTTTGCATACACACACAAACATGAATAGGTGCATATCTGCTTGTTAAGGCTGGTTCAGCAGGTACATTTAGGTGCCAAGAGACATTCTCTTTACAATCATTCCCCGCCTTGAAAATTCCCCAACAGGGTGTTACACCACAGTGGCATCCAAAAAAAAAAAAAAGACACACGCGTGCGCACACACACACACACACACAACTGTCCTCTAACAACAAAGAGCATAAATTACTTTTTCTCTTAGTTGGTTTATATTTACATTCAAAACAGGTGACATGAACACATCAGACTTATCCACCCACTGTTACCATCTGCTAATTGGTCAGTCATACTGAGCACCTAAGCTTCCTGAGCTGTGGTGTGCTTAAGATGTTGAAATGTGTGTGTTCAGATTGTGACAATGCCGGAGTATCTGGGTCGTCGTTTCGGGGGGGAGAGGATCAGAACCTACCTGGCTGTCCTCTCACTGCTGCTGTCCGTCTTCACAAAGATATCAGTACGATAGTGTCACACACACACACACACACACACAAAGAAAACAGGATAATATTTAATTCGGCTGCATTTGCTTTCCACCATTCAGCAACACCACCTGCACTGAGATTGAATCTTTGCTGATAAATGTGTTGTGTTTCCATCACCAGACCGACCTGTACTCTGGAGCCTTGTTTGTTCAGGTGTGTCTGGGATGGAACCTCTACCTGTCCACTGTCCTCATGCTGGTGGTCACTGCACTCTACACTATTGCAGGTACACGAGCACCATTGACATTATATTTGGATGTCAGGTTTGAGCACATCAGCATTTAAAGTACAGATTTCTTTTTTTGCATAACTTATATTTTGTAGGTAAATTACTATCCAGCAAAGAATACTTTAAATAAAGCAAACAAATCTATTGTTTGTGTGCAATAAACTATTATTTGCATTAGTATTATACACACACATGCTCTATGACCTCATTCACTCAGTTTTACTCATTCATTCTTTATCAAATTCACAGTTCTGTGTACTCTCAAACCCTTGGACTCTTGCTCACAGTGTCTCTTGCTCTTTTTACATCTTCGGGCACTCTCGCATTTACCTGCTTCTTCAACCTCAGTTTTGTCTTCAATCCAATAGCTAGTAGGTTGCTAGGGAAATAGTTGCATTAATAATATCACACATACTGTACACAGCTACATCTGTTGTGCTTGCTTTTGTGTAATTTGAGATTCATAATAAATAGCAGTGTTGTTGTGGATTGATGCTAAAAACCCATATTCACTTCTCTTCAGGTGGTCTTGCTGCTGTCATCTACACCGACACTCTTCAGACATTTATCATGATTGTAGGAGCAATCATCTTAACAATTACTGGTAGGTGCAATTTCCATCATTTAAATGGAAAAACGTAAACTAACTGCATAAACCATTGCAGATGTACTCATAAAGCAGCAGTTATTATAAGGAATGTATGGTTGGAGTTGTGTGTTCCTGATCCACAGCCTTTAACAAGATTGGTGGCTATAGTAACCTGGAGCGAGTGTACAGCATGGCAGTGCCCAGTAAGATCATTCCAAACAGCACCTGCCACCTGCCACGTCAGGATGCCATGCACCTGTTCAGAGATGCCGTCACTGGAGACCTGCCCTGGCCTGGCATGACACTGGGGCTCACCATACTGGCTACCTGGTACTGGTGCACCGACCAGGTACATCTTCGGCTTACACATACAGTACATATGCATCCATATACAACCAATGACCACTATGGGCTTGCCCCAGAAGTTCTCACTGGATTGAAGTGAATTGGGGAAACGCCTCAGTTCTTTCTCAAAACACATACAAAAATGTAATAATATAAGATATGTTTTCACAAGTTATTGTCTCTAAGGTTGTTTTTTGTTATATGTTCTGGAGGCAACTGTTGATTAAAACGATATAAAGGGTATTTTAATTTGTGTGTTTTCTGTAGTCTTGGTAGTTTTTTCCCAAGTTTTTAAAATAGGAATAATTTTGGAAGAAATTCTAATGTTTTGCCCGAATAGATTTACTTAAGTAGTGTAAGGATAACATGAGTGGTCTGTTTATCAGGCATATTTGGAAATTAAATGGAGAGTGAGTACATCCAAATTTTTTGTTAACTGCTCAAAACTGTGTTCATGCTCAACTACTGTAAATATGGTCAAGGTGAGCCAGAAATTTAGGGAATAATATTAGTCTGTGTCTTGTTCTATTCTCCAACTCAGTATTGTTTAAAAAAATGGATACACAGTTACAAGGTCTAAGTATCAATCAATCTAATCATGAAATTTGTCGGGTTTTGTTCATACCACTTGCCCTACCAGACTCCATTCTACTAATTTGGGTGCATCCACAAGTAACCGTAAAAAGAAAAAGGTCAGACTCCACCCTGTTTCCCAGATTATGACTTTGTGCCTAACCCAAACCCCAGGCTTCAAAAATCCCTTTAGAAAACTAAAAGCTACAATTAGATTTTTCTATGTCTATGAAGCAAAGGCAGACATACTTAAAAATGCCTCACACACGTACGTACACAATCATTTAACTGTTCTGCGTTATTTCCAGATCAGTTGTCTGGGTCCAGATCTGTAGGTTTGAGTTATGGGCTTTCACTGTCACACCCCTGAAATATAGAGATGCTGATTTACCTGAACAGGATGAGGCAACAACAGAGCCACAATCTGTATTTTTATTTACAACATTCACTTTTGGTCCCATATCAAGATTTAACATGGCATACACCTGGTCAGTACAGCCACATGGATAATTGACAACATCTGTCACATATGTAAAAGCAATCAACACAGTAGCTTTACCCTCACACCATCAGTAACCAATCACAGTGGTATCAACTCTAGAGTCTGACTAGTATATCAGTCGGCAAACATAATCAGCTGATCTTACATGTCGGATACATCACACTTGTGTATCTTGAATATGGAAAACATTACAGTACAAAATTCTGAAAAAGAAAAGAAGCTGAGGTAATTTACAAATATTTGTTCAAAGGTTTCTTTACAAAACTGAGGTGCCTTATTTGGCAGAGAAAAATATCACAGCTGACCTAATCTATTATGATTTCTATCATCTACAAAATACCCTGTCTGTAGTAGAAATCTTAGCGCTTTTATAACTAAATTTGACAGATCCAGGCTTAAAAAAAAGTGTACGTTTATGCATTTGTTTGTAAACATAACTATCAGATGAGATATTTTCAGAGTTAATTTCCTCTGAGATATCAGTATCTTCTTCTAAAATTCATTATCAGCCCCACAAAACTAAAACCATCCAGTCAGATGCCTTTAACCAGGAAGCATTTGATTTGAAGGAGATGAGATTCATTTACAGACAATACCTCTTAAAACACATCATCACATCAAATTGCCAACCCTTGTTGACATGGTCAAAAAATCTTTTACGTTGAGCCTTTGAGATTTCAAAGCAGGAAATAACAAGCATCACCAGTTTCTTAGCAGGAAGTCTATATAAACAAACGTCCTTGTGTACATGTGCCAGTTCCAAGTTCTACCTAGTAGCCTTGTTATTTTGAAACGCTTTCTTCTGCGTCATGCCTCCTCGTGCCCTCAAGTGTCTAAAATTGTTCACTTTTGAGAAAGAAACTCCTAGTAACCCTGATGAGTTGTCTGGTGGGTGTGGCAAGGCATGGTCCATCTTCCTGTATCCTGGGCTGTGGCGTCGTGGTGACCGGCTGGACCGTGTATCTGTGCGCAGCTGGGCTGAATCAGGCTGCAGCATTTGGCCCTGCCAGTAACGGTGTCCTCCTATCACAGGGCCAGCTGCTCGGGTGGGGCGGTGGTAACTTCCCGGTTTGGCAATGATTACTTTAGGTCCTCGCAGTCTCGCCTCACGACCTGGAGATCTTGAGGTCTGGAACAACTACAAAAAAAGAGAAAGCAGAGAGACATGAGTCCAAAAAGTCCAGAAGAGTTACACATGGTCTCTATTTGTGAAGCTATGGAGAACTGAAATCCTCCACTACTAAATTCACACATGGAGTACCTCAGGGATCAATTCTGGGTCCTTTTCTATTCTCTATCTATTTGCCATGCTTGGTTCAAATATTAGTTTTTTTCCTTTTTTTAAAGCAAAGGTATTTTTGGCATTTTATGTGTTCATTAAACAGTTGACATATAAAACAAAATGGGAGCAGAGTGAGATGGGGAATGACATGCAATGAAGGTCCTGGCCAGATTCAAACTGGGGAAATTCCAGTTCATCAGCACTTCAAGCCTCTAGGCCTTTTATTCAAATGATGCCATGCATGTGAGCACTCTCCTGGTCAGACTCACAGTTAAAATTTGGTTATCACAGAACTTCTTTCAGTCAAATTTAAAGAGAGAGAGATTATCATAGATTCAGACTCTGCAGTCATTTTCCCTCTTAAAATATTAATCCTCAATGCAGAAATCTGTGTCACATCTGACAATAGTTTGATATAACATGAATGAAAAGTAATGTCTATGGGAATTGGTGCTAACATTACAGGCTTCTACTTTTCGAATACAAGCTAGTTACTATAGCTTGCTAGATTTCACTTCATGGCATGATGGTTCTTCCCAAATGTTGAATGTTGTAAACGAGTACACAGCTTAGCGTTGGTTTTATACCCTGAAATACAAGACCATTACTATGTGGACTTTTGTCCTGCATTTGCTCTTTTACATTTATCTGTTAAACTGCACTTATTTCTTCTTTAATCTTTATATTTTATTACACTGCATTTCTCGGTCTTATGTCTTTTGAAAAGTGCTTTATAAATAAAGTTAATATTACTACTATGTGTTTCTGTATGTAAAGGTTATTGTACAACGGTCCCTGTCTGCTAAGAACATGAGTCATGTGAAAGGAGCATCGATCCTGGCTGCCTATCTGAAGATTCTGCCCTTCATCTTCATCATCCTCCCTGGCATGATCAGCCGAGCTCTCTATCCAGGTGCATACACACACAAGGGCAAACGATCACACACCTTTTAATTAGGAAAAGGGCATGACATGTTTAACTGTAAACAAGTACCAGCTTGCTTTGACACCACAGGTGATACACACCCTTTTCAGGTGAATTTGTAAAAAGTTGTGAGGCATTGTCTGCGTCCTACCTGTAAATGGAGAATCACTGAGCTGCGTCCTCTACATGTTCATGACAGGCATTATTCCTGGGAGCCTCTGCACTTGTTTTCGTCAGTGATTGCTCATTAAACATTAAAACAGGATTTAAAAGATTTAGACAAGCATTGTGTCTTCATCTACTTCAACATCACTGTGTTACATAAAACTGCAACTTACAATTATTTTCATAAATGATTAATCTGATTATTATTATTATTTCAGTTGATCTATTAATTATTTAGTTAATAAAATGTGGGAAAATAGTGAAAAATACCTATCCCAATTTCATTTCCATAGTGCTTATTTTGTCTGACCATCACTCTAAAACTCAAAGATTCAATGAACAATGTTATAAAACAGAAATAAGCACCAAGTTCTTAAAAAAAACAAAAGGTGGAACTGGGTATGATTTGGCCTTTTTGCTTGAAAAATAGCTTAAGCTATGAAGCAGTGTAGTAGTGTACTTTTTCTGTTGGTGAATTAACCAACTAATTGTTTTGGGTTAACAATCATTTTTCACATTTAATCTGTTATTTAAATTTAAGTTTACTGTTGAACTGTTTAATTGTTTAGTCTGTAAAATATTAGAAAACATGACTTGGATTGTTGTAAAACAGAAAATGCAGCAAATCCTCACATTTGAGAAGCTGGAACCAGCAAATATAAAAAGATTCATTGTTTGCCATTATTTTTCTATGACTTATTGTTTCAACTATAGAGGAAAAGTTATATTGAAATTAATTACCTCACCTGTCCTATGTGCCTGTGTGGTGAGGGGTGACCTTGTCTGCGGAGCTGCTGTGATTGGCGGATGAGGTCCTTGCTGTCCTCTGGCTGGCTTGGCTCTCGCAGGTCCAGCATGCTCTGGGAGAGGCGGGCCATCATGTTGACTCCGTCTCCCTGGCGATGCCCGTGACCTGAACCAGTCGTCACTCCGTTTGTCAAAAGGTCACTTGGCTCCTGCTGGGAATCATAAAACTCCTCCTCTGACGCCGTGGAAGCGCTTGAAGGATCGTCATTGGCTGCTCGGTCACACATGACCTTGGTGCTGTCTTGGCTGCCGTCTTCGTTGCTGCATGAGTCCCTGCAATCATTCTTTGATGTTATGCGGCCACGACCCTCTCCAGTTCTCTTTTTGCTAGAAGAGCCATCTAGACTTTCCAGTTGGTCCATTTTTACCAGAGTCACCAGTGGTTGGTCAAGCTGCTCTGAGGGAACAGAGTCAATGACTAAATGCAGTGTGCGGCGTTTGGGAACAGGAGGTGCTGCAGTTTGTGCCTCTGGAGTTTCTTTAGCACTGTCTTTTGGCTGTGATTCAGCAGTTACTTCGGTTGGTGATTTGGGTGTGTGTGCATTTGTTTTGTGTGTGTCTTGTGCTGGAGGTGTCTTGGGCTGCTGAGGGGCCTCTTTGGAATCTGTTGCATCAGTTTGGCCTTTATTCAGAGTAGTGTGCGTTTTCTCTTTATCCTGTTTTTTGGTTGGACTCACAGGAGTACAGACTTCTGTACTTGTATTCCCAGAGGGATTTTTGGCTTTTCCTGCAGCGTTTGCAGCTTGACCTGATGCAGGTCCCTCAGTCTGTGCTGCTAGTGCCAGTGGTGAGCTGAAGCGTATAGCCTGACTGACCTCAAACCTCTCCGACCTCTGTAGGTGAACCCGATTGGCCCGCTTTTCATCCCTGATGTTGATAAAGCCAATCACGTCGCTGGGTGGGTCTGGCTCTGGCCAGGTGGGCAGGTATGGAATCAGGTACGCTTTCTCCAGATGGGCTAATCCTGGGTGTATGGGTGGCTCTTCAATAACGCCCTTAAGACGCCCTTTCATAATTTTTAGCCCAGTGGGATTCTGAGAGTTTGAGTTCTTGTTGCTGGAGTTCTGGTCAGAGGAGGCTGGACTTGTGTGGGTTCCTGTGGCAACCAGGGCGTATTTGGGATTGATGAGCTTCCTAGCAACAGCGGCTGACACAGGAGCAGGAGCCGTGTGAGGGATCAGGTCAGGGATTGGTTCGTCTACCAATGGAACCTTGCTGAGAGACACACCTCTGGACGAGAGGTAAAGGTCACGAAACTGTAGGTCAAACGTCTCCACTGCCTGTCCTGTGATCACAGTGATGAGGTTACGGTCCAAACGAGAGGAAGACCAGGTGAAGCTGGAAGAGTAGAGACATGGAAACATAAATTCACAGCAGTGATTCCCCCATTAATGTGCTTGTCTAAAGGGTGCTCACATTTGGAACATTCTGTCTATTAAATCAGTTCCTGTTTGTCTATTCTAAACACTTTCTTGTCATGACTCATAATGAGAAAACCCAAAAACCAAGTGTAATCATGACACCAGACATTTGTAGAACAAAGGATCCATTGTTTAATAGATGACAATAACAGTAAACTGTAAAGTCTGTGTGTGTTGAGGTGAGGGTTTATGATCGGTCTAATTTTCAGAAAGTAGCGGTGGAAGGAAAATTTCTGCAAGCAATAGATCTGCTACACCGGAGCAATTGGGGTACAATGTTGTCATCTTGAATTAATTTTTTAACCACTTGGGAGCTGAGAAAAAAGCTCTAAACTCAACAATGACATATCATCTTATAAGTTATTATGGTGAACAAATTAGCTAATAGTTGCATATTTACAACCAATTTCCTTTAAGCTCTGTTTTGGTCTCCACCAAGACCTGAGGGACATATCTGGCTCTTTTACAGCTAAATGCTCCACTATGTTCACCAGCCAGTCGCTAACTTTGCAAGTTGTTTGGTGCTGGGTTCATAGTGCACAGTTGGTTTATCTGAAACAGTAAAACTGTGTCCAGAAAACCAAAACAGTGAGCTGAAAGACACCAAAACACTCTGAACAGTGAAAGGGAACTGGGTAATGAGTGATTATTTTCTGCGTCTTCTTCTCTTTAAGTGACCCCCATCACAATAGTCATATGATCAGTTGCCAATTAGTGCAGCTTTAAACACTCAAACAATATGCAAACATACCCAACATGTTGTATAGGACACTGCTCACCTGTATGAACCAGAGATGGCTCTGTCTCCATCGACCAGGAGAAACTTCTGGCTCAGCGAACCACGCACCTTCTGTGCCGACCGTGTGAAGAACTCCACACCTCCACAGCAGCGCACGCGCACATTCTACCCACATACACATACATACAGAGTTAATGCTATGTAAACAAAGGCACTTGGGGATTTAGTAGTTACAGGAGGAGGGATTTTAGTGAACAAAAGGTAAATAAAGGCAACATGAGCACGGAGAGACAGAAAAGAATGTGTTTTCTCATTGCTCAAGAACAGCTCTCTAATACCACCATAGCCTCATGTTGGCTGACTCTACAGGTTAGAGCTTGGACAATCTATGTATGTGCATGCTTGTATGACACACCCTGCGGTGTTTGTCTTCAGCCCTGTGATAAGGGTGGGGTTCCAAGCCAAGCGTTACCTCGTAAGTAAATGTTCTGTGCGAAATCTCACAGCAGACACTAACCATTGGATGTCGTAAAATGCTCATAATGAGACCGGAGACGACAGATAAGAAATAAGTTGAAAGAAGGGGAATATCTGTTGGTTAAAGCAATGAGGAAGGAAGAAAGAGAAATGAAAGAGAAACATGTTACCAAAAGTAAACTGAGCGTGTACATGGTTTATTTAATTGCCTGCAGCACAGGCAGGAATGTGCTTAGTGTCTTTCTGGTTTCCAGACAATTTTTTTTTTAGAAAATCCCCTGAGAAACACTAAGTGTTTTCTGTTACTGCCTCGACCAGTTCAGCTCAGATATTGAGCCTATGGCATACAACTTGCTTTTGCACGAACCTTACCAAGGCCTGCGGCAAAAACCTATTACACCTTGGTCAATCATGTGCCCTCCTTTCAAATACTTCCCTTATAAATAACCTTTTCCCTACTATTGTATCTATTGTATCTGTAATCTAGCTCATCCCCCAGCTTATCAAAACATCATCTGGGTGTGTGCATCTGTATACATACCTTTAGGTGTCCACGGTGCATATCAGCTCTGCCACACATGGAAAGAAAGCAGGGGACTGCAGCCATGTCAATAATTATATATACAGGAACTCTGCGTTTGAATGCCGCATCCAGCAGGTCTCGAAAGATATCCACGTCCGTAAACACATCCATCACCACAGCTATTACCTACACACATACACACACACAAAAAAACACAGACAGGAAACCACAAAGGGTGTTAGTGTTTCCTGGTCTGTGAGGGTGGGTTTGATTTAAGCTGCTCTTATCAACAATATTAAACTCATTAAACCCTCAAAGGAAGCCAGGCACTTGTAAGATCTGCATTTGAACAATAAATGAAACCCTCAAAGACAGAGATTGTTCTTGCTGCCCTCAAACTAGATGCGCCATAAAAAGACTGCTAGAAACAAAGAGTCTTTTGCAGGGTGGTGATAAAGTGAGAAGTGACTGGATGGTGTGTGTTCAACAACCCAGCAGTACTGGTGACAGCAGGGTACTCTTCACACAGTGCTGCCTATTCACTCTTCAACTGACCCAGTTTTGAGTTAAAACTGCAGAAATAGAGGTTAGTCCCAAACACGGACAACTTAGCTCACAAACTGAACAAGAAATCAGCTCTGAAAAAACTAGTTACTGAACTTTTACATTAGAATAGTTTAATGAGGTCTTACTGTTTGTTGCTCTGACCCAGAGCTGAACTACTATATGTTCATGTGCCAGCATTCATGTATGTGAGAGGTAAAGGTTAGAGTTTTGGCATGTAGCATATTCAGTGACGTCAGAGAATTTTTTTCCACTAGCGTGTCAAGATCAGACTTGCTTCAATAAAAAAAACTTTGTTGGGTGCATGTGTGAGTTGGCACATGTGAGAGAAAAGAAAGGGAAGTAGGTTTGTGAGGAAATACAAAGGGAAATAATCAGATGTAAGTGGACAAAAACAAAATCAAACTCTGACCGAGATAATGGATAAAATTCAATCCAAAAAAGCCAATGTCAGATTATTGATATATGATTTAGCCAAGTGTACAACTGCATCGCTGTCAGTGTTGTGACAGCAGAAAACTGAAGAGGAAGTCAAATCTCACAAAAAATTAATTCTTAATTTGTCAGTAATTTAACATAAAACAATGTAAACAATGATGGTAAACTAGAAGGTTAACAAAAATCACCAAATAACATAATGCAATTTGACACACTTGGGGCAGCAACTAACCATTATTTTCATGCAAATTATTTTCTCAGTTCATAGATCACTATTTTTTTCCTTTTACAATGTCTCAGACCTGACAGTCACATCTTCAGATGCATTGTTTTATACAAAACACTTAAAAATTCCAAATATAAGCAGTTTTTTATCATGTATGACAGAGAAAACAACAAAACCTAATACTGGAGAACCTGGAATCAGAGAAAGTTTGGTATTTTTGACTGAAAAGATTACAAAAACCAGTTGACTATTAGTTTTCTATTAATTGACTAATTGATTAATCAACCGATTAATTCAAGTAGCATAAAATGGATATACTCAAGAAAAGCACAAGTACTTCTAATTTGTACTTGAGTAAGTGCACCATTTCCAACACTGGTTTCTGTTTTTCTTTATCTCTGGGTTGTTTGTGTTATTTTCTGTTTGATTTGCTGGAGATTGCCTGAACTTTCTCATACACCACCAATTGGGTTACCACTATCATCATCATCATCATCATCATCACCCTCATCCTCATCCTCATCCTCATCCTCATCCTCTTCTCCCACCTTCTGCGCTGAAGCAATGCTCTTCCGCACCACCTCCTTGATGTGCGTGTGCCCCTCGGTTGGAGGCTGGGTGTACACGGTCACCCGCGTCACCCCTCGGTAAGAAATGCACTCGGGCCACCCCAGGTCCAGCTCAGCCACTGAGGCCTCAGATCGGTCTGGCCAGTACTGGAGCGACACCTCGCCGTCTCCACCTTCTTCCCCAGATCCTGGGGTGATGTTCCCCGGGCCTGGCGTCTCTGATTTCTGGTGATGCTCGTGCCCGGGCCGGTAGGCCTCGGCTGTGTGTGCAATCCGCTCCAGCTCCGGTTCTGAGAGGAACTCCCGGACGCCATTCTTGCGGGTGTAGTCCGTGAAGGCGTCGCGGCCCTTGGTGACGAGAGCCTCGAGCGCAAGCCGTTGGTCCTCACTGTAGAAAAACTCCGGTTTGCTCTCGCTCACGCGCAAGTTGACGTGGTGATCGTCCAGACACTGGATCTGAGACAGCGCCATGGCCTCAGTTCATCCACCGGTCACTAAACAGTTAAGTACTGAAACCACTCTGACCCAGTTTCGACTCGTCGGTCCGAAGGGTCAAACGTCAAAAGAGTGCGATCTGTCATTACGGTCCATAACGTGTCCGCGTGACCTGGGCCCGTGAAGTGAGATCCTCCGGTGGAAAACGATTTTCATCTGATGGAAATGAACCGCTAGAAGAGTGGCTCAGAAGAGGCTCCACCTCAGCCCAGATATCAGGTTACTCAAACACTCAGGTGTTGTTAGAACAAAGCTCGCCCCCGCCCAGCACCACGCCTTTCACCTGACAGGGGCCGGGTAACTGCAGAGGCGACCCGGTTCAGCTGCTCTAGCCGCGGGGCCCGGCAGACATGGAGGCAGGCAGCTGTCTGGGTGGATGAGTGTCTCTGTGTGTCTGCCAGTGAGTCAATCCAAAGCGGAACATGTACTTAAGATAGAGAATTACGATCATTAATCCTGCTTTGAAAGTGTTGAAACAGAGTGTGACTCAGTCTAACTGTTGCGCTGACGAGTCACTTTTCCTCTTTGTTTGTTGGAGCGCTGAAGTCTGACAGAAGCGGCTCACAGCTGTTCGAAAATGGCAACTGTTGAGTTCAGCGAGAGACAAAAAGTCGTAAATTTCACTAACGTGGCACATGCGAGTCCAAACTTTCACGGGGTCCGAGTTCACCGCGGTTTAACTTTTCTCGTTTTCCTTGAAAACGTCCCTCCAGGCTTAAGGTCCAGTAGAGCAGTGTGCTGGAGTTGCCGGTCAGTGTCTGACCCTGGAATTCGGCAACGGAAGCTCAGCTACCGGGGGCAGAAAGGCGGAGTGTCCGGTAGTTGGTTAGGAAAGTGGGTTTAAACTCCACCCTCCTGGCTGGATAGAAGGAGAGAAACCTTGTTTTTCTTCCAGACCCTTACGAAAGACAGTGAAATAACTAACCCAGTATGTTTTACCGGCACTATGGGACTCAATTATGGTATTAGATACAATTTATAAGGAAGATAATGTAATCCAGAGCACACGGGCAAAGGGTTACTCAGCTTTTTGCCATTTGGTGTAATTGCTGGACAATGATGTGTCACTGAATGGTCTGCTGGAATTTCCGGTGATAAAACACTGTGGGAAATAACGAATGTCTGAGTCAGTTCTAATATAGTTCAAGAGTAAAATTAGGTCAGTTTTAGGTTTTCCTATATGGAGAACCAACACGCAGAAAAGTGACCCTTACTGTTAGTCCAGTTTTTGCCACCTAACAGATCGGATGTTAATGTGTAATTTCATGTCAAAGTGTAATTCTAAGGCAAGGCAAGTTTATCCAACAACAAGGCTATTCAAAGAGTAAAATAAAGTAGGCTGCAGAGTGGAGTTTACAAATTAAATGTAGTAACCCAGGGGAAAAAAGTGATGCCATGATAGCGATTTGTACAGGCACATAGTGAACAAAGGATGAATGTGGTCATACAGACTGTGCCATTTTTTTATTTTTTTTATTTGTAGGCTATCGTCTGCATATTTCATACATCAACATATCTAAAATACATAAAACATTGGCTATATTAGAATTATGCCTGCCAAAGGAAGCCATTCTTTGTGAAATCTCAGTTGGAAGAATATAATAATTTAATCAAATAAAAAGTATCTAGTTAAGATACTTTCACTGCAAAATAAGGTTTTGTTTTTCGATGACCTACATTCATACTGAAGTAAATTTTACCCCAGTTCGTTTGCCTGTTCTTTAGCAGAAATTAGAGACAACATGAATTCTGCATGAGCTAAATATTTAGTTTCGTGTAAATGATATTGGACTGTCCTCATGTTTCAGACACTGTTGGATGTGTGGACCCTGAGGAGTGTGTGCGAGTGTGTGGAGCTGAGGTAGGATGCTCCAACATCGCCTTTCCCAAACTGGTCATTGAACTCATGCCAAGCGGTGAGAATACTGCAGATTTTTTGTTTTAATATGTGTCAATGTGTGATAAGTTTTTTGTAATTTTTCACCTGCATGCATCTGTGCATCTGTGTGTGTGTGTGTATTACAGGCTTGCGGGGGCTCATGATAGCAGTAATGATGGCAGCTCTGATGTCTTCACTGACCTCCATCTTCAACAGCAGCTCCACACTCTTCACCATGGACATCTGGAAGAAACATCGCCCACAAGCCTCAGAGAAAGAGCTGCTACTGGTCGGCAGGTATATTACACAGGGTGGCCCGGTGGTCAGACAACATTTGTTGTGCTTTAGTGTCCTTGAGCAAGACTTTAGAGCCCTCTCAGTGCTGTGGAGGGTGAACTGTTGACACTAGGACCGATAAAGAGAAGCTTGTTTGTAGAGAAAGTGAGACAGATGTGCTGCACGTGTTTTCTTGCAGGATTGTGACAGTGATCTTGGTGGTGGTGAGTGTGGTGTGGATCCCCATCCTACAGTCGGCCAACAGTGGCCAGCTGTATGTTTACATCCAGTCTGTGACGAGCTACCTTGCTCCACCGGTCACTGCTGTTTTCACTCTGGCTGTCTTCTGGAAGAGAACCAATGAGCAGGTACATAACTCACACAAAACCACATGCATGAGTATTTCCATTGGGGCTACAACTTCTGATAATTTTGTTATCTATTAATCTGACTTTTCTATTCATCAATTCATGGTTTTACCAATAAAATGTCAGAAAACAGCAAAAAAAAATTGTCCACCACAACTTTCCAGAGCCTATACAATGTCTTCAAATGACTTGTTTTGTATGATCAACAGTCCAAAAGCCAAATATATTTAATTATATGAGAGAAAAAAATGTTTGGCAGTTTTACTTAATAAATGACAATCAGTTATCAGATTCTGTTACAGTCTGTTCTGTTTACAGTCAATCAGTCAGCGAGTCTCGTCTCAAACACATCCAAACTTAATTCAAAGTTTACTCGATTATTACAGCAAATTACTCAGCAGAACATTCTGGAGTTTTGATGTTTTCCTCTTTGCACTGTTTGTCCTTTCTCCTACACCATACTGGTGTGCAGTTTTATTAGTCTCACATGGGATCCAGCTAAGTGCAAACATCCCTCACTGCTTGGTGCGGAGTCTTGTGTGTGTGTGTGTGTGTGTGTGTGAGAGTGTGTGTGTGTGTGTTGTGAAGTGTATTGTTTATTATTTCCTCTGATGGGGCTGGAATGAACATGCTGCTCTTTCACTGCAATAAATGAAAGTGATTGTTATCAGACAGAAACAGAGTGCAAGTGAGGGAAAGTGTGATAATTAGAAGATAAAGATTACAAAGTTGGATAAAAGACATAACAGTGGTTTAGTAGGAGTGTGGATCAGCCAAGAGCTAAAAACATATGTTGAAATACTGAAATACTTAAACTGCAAGTAAAGACTAGTCTGCTGGATAGTCAAGATTACTCGTTATTACAACATGTCCTGGGTGTGTCTCCACTCTGCTGGAACGCTGTTCAACCACTGAAATGAAAAGGATTTTATCAGGTCTTTTTAGATTGAAAGGTCTTTTTTTCCCCTTTACTGTAATGTAAATTACTTCTATCCAACTCTGAATGACACTACAGTGTCTGCTTTATATTACTTTCCACTTTTATTACAACAGGTTTACAATCCACTTGCCTGGGGATACTATATGAGTTGGCAACAGCCCAGAAAATACTGATCTGGGAATTTGCAGGTCAAAGGACATCTTTGTTATATAAAATCAGTGCTAGTGGTGTGGATAGCAATGTCAGTCTGACAGTTGGTCTTTTCAACACTTCAAATATAAATAAATATAAATATATCAACCACTGGATGGATTTTTATAAAATGTAGTATTGACTTTCATGTTCCCCATAGGACATTTTTTTTAGACTGAGAAAAGACCAAACCCATGCTGACAGGAGGAGTTATAAAATGTCACAGCCATCCATTTCTGTTTGATGCTACCATTTCAAATTAAGACCTATTAAAATAAAAGGTTATGGAGGAGGGTCAACAGCCCTGTTACATAAGAGGTGTGAGCTTTTTATTTGTTCAGTGAAACACGGTGAGATAATCGCTTTAAGAATCTAAATGGTGTTGACTCATGGGGTCAAAGGGAACATGTCACTGCACAGGATGTGTCACACGCTGACACTGTGGAGAGTAAACTCATTTTGTGAGAATATGATGTACTCTTTGAACCAGAGCTGCAATTGTAACTCATAAAAACATTAATAAACCCTGTAATTAGTGTGATTATGTCTATAGCACGTGTCATCTTATGTATTCATCTCTATCTTCCTTTGTATAAAAACATTTTAGGATTTAATTTTTTTTTTTTAAAACAAAAACATGTGCGTTTAGATTTATATGAACTAAAACCAGAAAAACAGATCATTTCACAATAGTTGGCAATGTAACAACAAAAAAACCTGTTACCTCAAATGATTTTGTTCACCTGTAGAAAAATAGATCAAAGAGAAAAATGGTTTACAGTAACGAGCATAAGGAAGGAGAAGAGAGAGAGAGGAGGAAAAGTGAGAAAATATGATGAGAAGTGACAAGGTGACCTCATGTGCATTAAGTCGAACTGCACAGATCACATTCTTTGGTGAAGGTTGAAAAGAGAAAGAGACAGATGTTGATTGGTGCCCGTGCACGTGTGTCTAAATATGTGGCAGGACAAAGAAGACAAATTATAATGGTGGGAAAGTGAGAGCGTTATGAGCCCGGACACTCCCAGGTGTGACATTAGACTGACATATATATATATCACTTCAGGAAGGCATGTAATGTCATCTGTATGTGTTTACGTGTGTGTCTTTTCAGGGTGCATTCTGGGGCCTGATGGTGGGTTTGGTGGTGGGTGTGTGTAGGATGGTGCTGGAGTTTGCTTTCCCTCCTCCCAGATGTGGCATTGTGGATTCTGCACCTGCAGTGCTGCGCGGCGTCCACTACCTCCACTTCGCCATACTGCTCTGTGGGCTCACTGCTATCGTGGTTACTATAGTATCACTGCTTACACCCCCACCCAGCCCTGAACAGGTGTGTACACATAGATACAGTAAATAACAGCTCTCTTAGGGAGGTAAAGCTTATCGTAGTGGTTTTTCTGTGGATACACCTGTCATGTTATCTACTGAAAATAAAACAGATGAATCTGAGGTTAAGGAACAGGCAGCTGAGCATTTGAAAGCAGATTGTGTGAAGGTTGGCTTCTTAAAGGACAGTCAAAGAGGCCATGCCTATCTAAATCCAAAGGATCAATGACCGACCACAGAGAACAGTAGAAGTATTAAAGTACAGTAGAGGTTTTGTTGCACACAATAGAATGCCGCACCAAATGCTTCATATGTCAAGGCTCACTATTTTAGGTCACCCATGAGTCACAGCCGACATTACTTTAACCTATGTATGAACTCAAAAAGTCACTCTGGTAAAAAAAAAATAATAAAAAAAAAAAAAAATCCTGTCATAACATATTTCAAGAGAATTACCAGATGCTAATTAGTCTGCTTAACCTCGCCCGTAAAACAGTGCACATCCATCCATAACATCACATGTAGAAACTATGCTCGCCGCACTTATCTGTAATGTCTCTTATCCAAACAGACAACTGATGTCAATGCACTTTATGTCCACCAAAAATGCAGATAAGCTAAAGTTTTATATAAGTGATTTTCTTTGGTGAATTTTGTTACGTAAAAATCTAATCCTTGCTGACTGTGTTGTCTGAGGTCAAGAATCATTGCCTAGAATAAACGTCAAGAATCTTTTTCCAGTCTTTGTGTTACGCTAAGCTAAGAGATTGATGGCTCCAGCTTCGTATTTACCGTACACACATCAAAGCGGTATCGATCTTCTCATCTAACTCTGTAAGAAAGCAAATAAGCATACGTCCCACAATGGATATTGTCGATAAGGACACTCAGCCTCTCTACATTTATCACTGGTTGTGTTTATGCCAAAATGTACTGCCTAGTTAGTGAATTACATTTGGTTGCATTGCCTCCCTCTCTTCTCCCAGGTGTGTAACCTGACCTGGTGGACAATAACTGAAGAGCCACAAAGAGAAATTCCTCTACAGAAAGTGTCCTCTGTCAGCCACCGTATCTCCCAGGGTGAGAGTCTGGATATTCACAGCACTGAGAATAAAACCAGCCATCATATGATAAATAGTCATCTACACACACACATGCTGCTATAGTTATTGTTTCAGTAACTTCCTGTATCTGCTCTGTGCGTGTGATGTTGCAGGCTCTGAGCCAGCTCGGCGGATGACATGTGGTCAGGGGGTAGGTTCCTGTATTGCAGCAGTGCGGCGATCAGGAGAGACTCCAGCTCCCAGAGTTCCCAGTGTGAGAGAGAGTGTGTTCTGGTCCAGGTTCTGCTGTGCTAATGCGCTCCTGCTGATCAGCATTAACATTTTTCTCTATGCATACTTTGCCTGAGTGGAGAATCACATTTAACATCCTGCCTCACCCTCAAGCTGAACTCCTGCCAGTCCCTCCAACGTGAACTAAAAACCTCCTGCCTGCCAAACAGTAGCTCATTTCTCCAGATCCAGGAATGTGGCGAAAAAAACAGATTGTCGAGCAGATTTTACCTGAATTCTTTAGAAATCAATGCAATGTATTTCACAAAAGAAAAGCCTCCAGTTGTAGTTTCAGGTGCTGTAAAACATCCACATCTCAAAATAGAAAATACCCAGAGAACAGATCCCTCCATCAGGGCTGCACAAACCTCTAAATTTATTTTCTTCAACAGCAAATGCTGAGACATTCTTTTATCTGCATCTGGATCCACATCTGCAACAAATTACACATAATGACTGACAATAATAGAATACACATGTCATACTTTTTTATTCAAGTAAGTCCAAGATTTCATGAGAAAATGGTGAAAATGTGCAAAAAGGCCCCTTGTCACAATGTTTTTAAATCATTAGCAGCTCAGGCTGTGTTCAGTGTTGTCCTTTAGAATCACTTCATTAGACATAGTGTTTCTACTGATGTGTTTGATGTTATGTTTATTATTTTAACACTGCCCCACTATAGGATTTCAGGTTGTTCTACTTGTTGTAATCTAAATTTAAAGTCTCAGGAGGGTATTGTACCAATTACAATGAAGCTTGTGGCTTGTAACAAGCTAACATGAATGTGCAGTTAGTGCTTAATGCACATCATATCTTGTACCTAAAGCTTACAAAATATATAGTAAGATAATATAGTACATCTGTGTGGGTTAGGTTGTATGTGACTCATAATTCCATTTCATTTAGAATTTAGATGTTTAATGGTAATTATATAGTTTTGTTGATGGCCTTATATCTGTCAGGTAAGGTTTTTGTGAACCTTCAGTTATTGTTCTAGTGTTCTTTCATGCTGTTAAGCTTTTTTTAATTAATATAAATCAGAATTTCTCAACCTTTTCTTGTCCATTACAAATTCTCATGACTCCAGCTATTAGAGTTTTTAAGTTGTCGTCTAAACACATTCATAACTCCAAATGCATCAAAATTATATTGAAATAATGAGAAGATTTATATTTATTTTTCTATTATTACAAATTTATCAGTGTTGAAAATCGCCTCCAGCTCTGGTCTACTTGACAACAAGGGGCATCAACCTCAAGGCTGAGAAACTCTAATAATAATATCTATGTTGCTGTGCATTCATTTTTTTATTGGTGAAATTCATTAAGAAGTATTGAGAAGCACAAATTGTTGGATGTGAAGAACCTCATGTCAGTCAAGAGACAAAATATCTCGACAACTTGCCCCTCAAAGGTTTTTTTCTTGTGATATTGCTAATAAATGTAAAGATATATGCATCAAAGCTACACGTGTTTGTCCACAAATGCAGGTTACAGTATTTATAACCAGATAATGTCACTCTTTATTTGGTTTCTGTACAGTTTTCTTACTACATGGGGAGGTTAGGGGCATGGACAAGATGTTAATTCAAAGTGAACATAAAGTTCAATTTTTCAGTCATATTCAGTACAGACTGTTTGAGAAAGGAGAAAGTTAGGGCCCAAAAAACAACAAAGGCTCACTCTAGGGCAACGATTCTTATCAATCAATGAATCTGTCAGTTCATTTTTGGTTCACTGATTAGTCTGAAAAACATGAAACCCACAGAACCCAAAGTGGCATCTTTGAATTGCATGTTTTGTATGATCAGTAGTCCACAAGCCAAGGCTTTCAGTTATAATGACATAAAACAAAGGAAAGCAGCAAATGCCCCCATATGAGCAGCCGAAACTATTAACTATACAAATATTTGTCTTTTTTGCTTGATAAGTGACTTAAATGATTAAAATCCCTGAAATCCTGCTTTCAAATCTTAATAATTCTATACCATTAAGTATTTAGCAATAAATCAACAAAAATTAAAGTTAAAAAAAAACATCTTTAGGCATTATTTATTAACAGTTTAACACAGTTAAGGTCCAGTCACAGCAGTATTTAGATCAGTGAAATAAATTTATTCCAGTAGAATCAGAGGATTCACATGCAACGGCAAAGTAAATCCATGCAAATTTTTGTCATGAAATACAATTTTCGTGAAGTGAAGATTTGTGCTGTTGGAAGAAGCTATTGTAGCTTATTGTTACACATGCATCATATGAGACAGGAGTCGATGGTACAAATTTATCTTTTGAATAAACTCTGAATTTTTTTGTCCTGCTAGCGAGCTAGCTAACAAGCTTGTTAACTGATTGTTGAACCCTTGCCCTCTTCAGTAACTCTTTACTACATGAAACGGTGTTCAGTCCTGATAACAAACTACCAGGAGGAGTAAATGGTCCAGTACAAAAAAAAAAAGAGAGAAGATCATAGAGCTGTTGTGCCTGAGTTGAGCTAGCATTGTAGGAGTTAGCTCGCTAGCTATAGTACCAACTAGCCCTGCGAACAGTTACTACAAAACAAAGCTCCTGGAATGATGTAAATATCCATATAGGTAACACTCCCCCATATTTAGCATTTATTAGCAATTTATAAATATTTAATAAATGGTTTATACCACACTATAATGTAGTTATACAGACCTATAAGGACATTTATGGGTGTTTATTCATTTGTCAGCAATTATAACGTCAATTAAGACATATATTGTTACAGGTTTACTTGTTTTACTAGTTATAGTTGTTGGCAACTACATTCATAAATATGCCTACATTATAGTGTGTTGTAAACCATTTATAAAACGTTTGTGTACTGCTTATAAATGCTAAATAGAGAGATTTAAAATGAAGTGTTACCATATAGACATACAAGCACATAATATCGTTCCACTTTAAACCAGTGAGAAGAGCGCAGAGGAAAACAGACATGAAGAAATGTCTCATGTTAAATAACCAAACTGTGCTAACTTTGGCTGAAAATACAGTCTCCTGGCAAGGTCCCATAGCTCATTGTAAGAAGCTGATTGAGAAAATAAGTTTTCAGGGCCTTTAATCTGTAGTGAAAATTTCTGTTGATTAATCAATTATTGAACCAGTTGTTTCAGCTCTAGTTCAGTCATTGGATTAGTACGGTAAATCACTACAGCCCTATAGGTCAGTGTCAGTGGTACACCTGTTGGACGTATTCTCGTGGAAAGATTCCTACTCGGCCTCGACAGCGCCCTCTCCAGGTCAGTGAACTAGAGCAGTCCAACAGGTCAATGATATCGCCGCGCAGGAAGTGGAGGTGGGCGGTTTGAGGCGGGGTGTAATCGCAGAGGGCATGAGCCAGACGAGGTTTCTAAACAAAGAGAGCAGAGCCATGACATCAGACAAACAGCTGTGTATTTAACAGAAGCTGAAGAGGTTTATTTGATGATTTGTCATACCCCCAAAACTGGCTCCAGCAGACGTGTGGAGGTTTCTCTCTCTGGGTGAGAGGGGTGAGAGTAGAGGCGGGGCGAGAGGAGGGACTCCTGAGAGCTGCTTTTATAAGGGTTAGGGTAAGGGTTACATCCAGGGTGGGACAGCAGGCGAGGGGATGAGGGAAGGTCTCTGAGGCAGACCACTTTCTCCATGGCGATGCTGTGAGTTCTGTAGAAATCCACCAGGCGGTTCAGGGAGCAAAACGACTCGTCCCAGATGCAGTACTGACCGCCTCCCTCCAGGACTCGGAAATGTTCCACCCTGTCACCATAGCTGCAGAATGAGCGTGGTGGATAGAAGAAAAGTGAGAGGGGTAGGCAGGTATGCATGCATGCTCCTTTTTTGCTCCAACACCTGCTACTGCTTCATTCCTTGGCCTGTGTCTTTGTTTAGGAATTCACACAGGTGTATTCTGCATTCTCCTGTCAGTGTAACAAATTAACTAACCTCTGTATGTGCAGGAGCATCTTCAAAATCTCCACAGGATTTCTCACTAGCAACGAACTCACATCAGTCTGCTCTGAGCAGGGGAACTATGTGAGCAATTGTGTCATTGAAGATAAAGGCAACAATGAAAGGGGGTTTAATATAGAGAGCTGAAACAATGAATGGATCAGTCGATAGACAGAAAAATAAAGTATTTTGATAATTGATTAATAAAAAAAAAGAGTAAACAATAAATCAATTAATCAAATAATAATAACCAGATCAATCAGTGATGACAAAAATACAGTATAAGAAAAACATTGTAGGACAGTTGATCATCTCGTCAACACGATCGTCGTTCATACTAAGCTGTTTAGAATTAGTGTGTATAATGGAAATGACCAAGATTGTGATAGACTGTGATGGGTGTGCACGCCGCAGGTGTAAACATGATGGATGCATATTTAGAGGTTTGGCTTCTATCTCACTAAATACACTGCAGTGTTAAGCATAATGCCAAACTGCCGTTTACCAACTGAAAAACTCTTATGAACTTTACTTGAACATTATCTCTCTCTGCTGTTCACTTTGAGGATTACACTGTGTGGTTGTGTTGTGTTAATGTCTGCCTCTGTGTGTGTGTGTGTGTGTATGTTACTAAATTAAATACACCTCATAACTCTCAGCCCCTGCAGGCAGACAGATGTGCCTTAAAACATTACTGTGTGCGCACTATGTACATGTATGTCTGTGGCATGTGTCAGTTGCGTAATGTACCTGTGTTTAATTAAAGACTGTGTAGTATTACATAATGCCCTGATTATTATTGAACACATTTCATTTTCCCTCAATGATTAAATGTGTCCCACGTCAATTTGCTGACCCAAATTACACTTCCTCCTCTATCCACACACACACACACACTTACTGTCTGCGTGGCTGTGATATTTTTAGCAGTTTTCGTAGAACATATTTAAATAGTCCGGCTCTCCCCTCTGCACACACACTCAAAGACACGTGGTTGCTATAACTTGCTAATGTGCTCAGTGTGATGGAAAACAAACATCCCACTACACACATAATGCAACAAGGAGACGCTGCTGCCTGTGTGTTTCATGCAGCACTTCTGGCTGTATAGTTAAGTCCATCAGCAAGGTGTAAAACTGTCTCTTGGTTTTAAAGGTCTGACCCAGGAGCACATGCCTATCTCTATGGCTATAAAGCAGAGCGAGGGAGGGGTGGCTCAAAGGGAATTACAGCAGCACAGCAGATTCAACACATGCAAATATAACTGCTGCATCACATCATACAAACATTTTGCATCTCATTAAAATCAAATTATGCCAATAGAGATGTTAGGTCAGTCTGCAGCATGAGATTTGACTCGACTCTGTTAGACTATTAACTCATCCTGAACAAGGATGACATATGTCTTTGCATATGTGGTGCTTTCACTGACCTAACGGAGACAGAAAAGTCTCCTGGAGCGGATTCACTCTCCCTCACCAGGAACACTCCAGTGTCCTGCCAGCGGAGACGCTGCTCAGCCTCAAGTCTCGACACCCGTCCCGCAAACCACCTATGAGAACACACACAAGCGCGTAAAGTACACCCTCCACTGCAGCTAGTACATTTTGAGAATTACAGTGTATTCATGCTGCTCTTTAAACTGACATAAGCGCGAGGAGCTTGTTATTTAAAAATCAAATCAGTTAGGCACATCAGTGCTTCCAAAGCTGCCAATCAGGACCCCAAAACGAGTTCTTAGAATGAGGCGTGACAAAATAATAGCAGAGATACTTTTCTACAATTTTTTTACATTTTTTTTTCTTATGAAATGTGGATTATTTTAACCTCTTTTGGCCTCTAAAAATGTTTTCGGGTAAAAAATTCTAAACAATCTAATGGAAGAATAATGTTTTGGTTGAACACTGAGACCACAACCTGTGATGAGGGGTCACAAGCCAAAAAGGGTCAGGGACCACTGATGTAAAAAGGTTATAATAATTAGAGCAAACCTTTTAAATAAATTCACAGAATGAATGCAAGTATTTTTATTCTAAATGGATGTTATTTTTAAATTGTACAACATATGAAGACAAATTCATTCTTTACGTATGAGGAAGGAGGGAAATGTAGTTTTCGGGCACATAGCCACGCTTCCCCTGGATCTCAGCTGTGAACCAGCAAGAATCATCCTCCATTTCTGTCACCTGCAACACACATGCACAATTATTCTTACTGTGTAAACATGCAGCCTTTGTGTTACATTTGGCAAATTTCAAACTTAACAACCTCAACACACACACACACTCTCACACACACACACACACACTCTCACACACACGTACCTTGATCATGTCCCCTTTGTGAAAACTGATCTCGTCTGTTTCTGATGCTGTAAAAGAGAAAAGAGCCACCGCCTCCATGTTAAACAGAGCGAGTAGAGTCCGCCACGAAAGTAGTTTCACCTCATGAATGAAGAGAGAGAGAGAGTACAGCTGTGTGAGTAGAGCACAGCAGGATGATAACACTGTTACAGGATGAGATAATCAGTGTGTGTGTGTGTGTGTGTGCAGTTGTTGACATCCTGCTCATTAGTTAATGAGGAGAGTTTTCTCTGCGCGTGTGTCCCTCTGTTCTTCCATGTGACCGAGTTAGACAGAGAGAGTGTGTGAACACGTGGAGGAAGTGCCCTCCATCTCCATCTCCACCTCGACCTATGACGTCTACACACTTTAAACTCCGGGGCTGTAATGAAGCATTTCCACCTGGGAAATCAGTGACAGCCGCCGGTAGAAAGCGGAAGAGACAGAGGAGAGAGAGATGAAAATAACCCTGAATAAAGTGTGAAGACCTGGAGTGTGTATGACCTGTGATTATCACAAGTCTTTGCAAAGCAGGTGCTTCCGGCAGATTCACTTGCTCAGTCGTTTTTATATTATAACGAACACGGTAAAACCAACAGCTGATTCTTTAAACTAGGGAAAAATACCAGTGAATGTACTTTTCTGTGATGCTGGTCTCATATTCCCACTACAGCCTCACGTCTCTGCAGTATAACTTGCGGTGGTATTGTACATTGTTTAATTATAATTTAATCGTCCAATTCTAATTCTTATTTGAACTACTGTATTTATACATTTACTGTGTGAGGCGGCTTCACCTGCATTTCATTCAGCTGTCAACAACAGCACAGATACAGAGGAAGTAGTGGGAGGGGTGGTGTCGGTCCAAACAGCTTTGTGCTGATGGATAAGCAGAGAAATTACACCAATTTCACAAAGATTAAACTGTACATTTATTCACAACAATTAATTTGTGCATAGAAAGTTGGATTGACAAATCTCAGCAGAATTGAGTGATGTTTTCATTAAACTGTTCATCAATGTGTAACAGACATAATTGATTTGTAAGAAACAGTAATATAAAAGTCTGCTACCTGACAAAGGTCCCTACAAAATATGTACGTTTGTTTATTTTCAAAGCTAAGGTATTATTTTTCTTCTTGACCGACTTCCCACACAAGACACATTTCAGCTGGGTTTTCTTTTTTTTTTTTGGTCATCTATCTCACGCACATCTGTATTTAATCAACACAACTTTCTACATCAGCTGTGCAGGAATGAAGCTACTGCTGATGTGTTGCTTTTGCTACAGGGTCTCTGTAGACGAGGTGTGACCGTGCCGATCGTCTCCACCCACGTGTGGATGCCCCGGCGGGGCTCAGCCTTGAGCCAATGGTGAGTAATGGATGAAATAAAGCATCAAGTTGGGTTGTAAATCCATTAGTTCAGGTCTGGTCAGGTCTCAGGTTTAGGCCTCTGCAGAACTCTACTGGTGAATTGTGACTCCCCTCTGCTGGAAGTAAAGATAAATGCTACTGCACTGTATCAATATATTAAAGACCAATCAAGATTTAATATCATATCGTGAAAAATGCAACAACGATCGACAACTCCCAGCTTGGTATTTAATGGAGCTGTAATATTGACTCAAGTAACCAACATTTCACAACAACATGGAGGCAAATGTAGCATGAGTTACATGTGTTGTTCATCACTGATAACAAACTAACATAAGGCAGTGTGTGTGTGTGTGTGTGTGTGTGTGTGTGTGTGTGTGTGTGTGTGTGTGTGTGTGTGTGTCTCAGTAACAGTCCACTATGACTTCTTGTCCTGGTTGTGTGTCTGGACGAGTGTGTGCGGCACTCGCAGTCAGTATGTCCTGCAGCAGAGAGAGGGGAGAGTTATGGACGTGGTCGCTGCTTTGAGTCAGTATGTCCAGCTGTGCGTCTAAACCCAGAGACCTCAATACCTCACACACACCAACGCACACACTGTCTCCTCCCTCTCTCACACCGTCCTTTCCCATCTCACCACAGCCTTCAGAATCAACCGCCTCTGCTCCGTCGGCAGCGATGTCTGCCTCTTTAGTGTGATCACACTTCTTCACCCCCAGTATTTTTCTGATCTCTCGCCCCCAGCCACATCCAGGCAGCTCACAGGACACCCTGGCCACTGTTACCATGGCAGCAGGTGCATCCAGTGCCTCTAACGACATAGGGCAGACCGTCTCTCTGAGCGTAATCAGGAGTTGACAGGCTTTCAGACCCACAGGCCTATCGCAGTCGACCAGACCGCTCAGTAACGCTGAGATGACTCCTTGTTCTACCAGATTATTGAGCACAGCGGCCAAATCTGACTCCACACCCCCTGTGTGTGACCCAGTGTGTGAGTGAAGCGTGTAAGTCTGATCAGAAACCACAGCGTATGGGTGTGGCAGGGCATGCTGAGAGTCTGAGCCCTTCCTGTAACCACGGTGACCTGAAAGGGCTTCGTCCAGCAGCAGCTCAGCCAGCTCCAGAGTGTGAACTTTGACCTCCCAGTCCAGATCAGCGCTGCCCAGAGAGAGGACGGAGCTCACAGAGTTCATCAGGAGAGAGGAAGGGGAGCGTGAAGAAAACCAGGCGATGAAATACCGCACAACCGCCCTCCTGGCGAATCCCTCTGTGTCCTGAGACAGAATTTCAAGCAGCCGGCTCACTACGTCAGTCTGGAGGCACACAGACAGTGAGGATTATCAATACAGTCAAGTATTTGTTATTACAAAGTGGTCGACCTGAGAGGAGCATGTTACAGTAGTCGATTCTAGATGACATGCACACATGAATGAGAATTTCTGCATCTGGCTGTTAGAAAATTGGCAAGCTTGATTTTTTTTGGTCAAGGAAGTTTTCAAACAGCTGAGATGTGCAGTAGTTAATAATTACATTTTTTTGTTGGGCAGCAGAGAGGGGGATTAAAGTGAGATCTTTTTGTCTTCCCTTTTTCTTTCCTTCATTTGTCTGATCATGTCTGTTTTCAATTATTCTGGCTGGCAGCGCTTCAGAGTTACATGAGGACACCTAAATGTAATGAATGTTGAAGTTTGTCCCACCCTAACAGGCACAAAGGAAGGTGGGGAAGGAGATGTCAGTCATGCATAGTCTGTACACTCCCATACGGTCTTGAGAAAAAGGTCTCATCAGGTAAAGTGAAAACACAGACTGTGGGCTTTACCCTGGGCGTGTAAGGCCTTAAAGGTTTATTATATACTGAGCAGGTTAGATACATTAAAGACCTGCAGCTCAAAACCGACTATTCAACTATACAAAGACATTACATGACATTAGATTTAGCTTGCAACCTCTTTGATGGTCTGCCCTAAAATATGACATCTAGCAATCTAGTCATATTTAACTTTAAGTAACTGTTTACACTCTGATAAGACTGCATACTTGGCTGTACATGTTCATGAACCAGAAAGTGTTTGTAACGATGAAACTATGACAACACCATATGTTTAGAAAGTAGGAAAGTTTAAATTCAAATCTTTCTGCCTACCTGCTCCTGTGTGAGTGCTGCCCCCTGCTGCCAGCTGTGTGCCAGTGTCTGTGCCAGTGCAGAGATGGCGCTGGCTCTCACGTAACTCTCTGGATCCTGCAGCGCCTCCCTGAGGAGAGGAGCGCTACGGCAGGCGCCCAGCAAGGCCTCGGACCCGTCGCGCACCTCCCCGGCCGATTTCACGACACCTGCCAGTTTTCCCAGAAACTCCACAGTCGAGTCTCTCACCTCCCAGCGCATGTCACACACACGTTTCTTCACCACCTCAGCGAGCTCTAACAGGGACGCACGCAACAATATGATGTCACTGACACAACATACAGCCACGAAAAGAGCAGAGTCTTGTTGTTTGTGTTGATTCAAGTGTATTTATGAGCTTCAGTGAGGAGGCCGCTGGTCAGCTTTACCTCGTCTGAGCTCGTCTGTTATAGAGGAGAGGTCTTTACACACACTCATCCACTTCACTAAGGCCTGGTAGGACTTGTGCAGCACCTGAGAAGCATAGATAGAGCGACTGTAATAATACAAAACCATATGAAGGGGGTCCAAACTCTTATGGTGTAACGGTTCAGTCGCAGTACGATGGATTGACAAAGTTATGCACGGACACACACAAACTTACAGTGGGGTCAGAGTCAGGATTGTTCAGATACTGTATCAGAACTGTGAACACCTCAATCAGCTTGTCTTTCACTCCTGAAACACACAAGGAAAATATTGATTATAATTAAATGTTCACATGACATTCGTTTTGTGTTTATACACAATTTTGTATTCTACAAATTGTTTAGACAAATCTAAACATCGATTTATTAAGTTAAATTCACTTTAATACCCAGATACAGACATTTGGACTTTGTACAGAGAAATCACTTTATGAAGTTTTGTGACACCCTGATGTACAGTATGTATTCAGTATTTACTTTAAGACTGGTGTTCATGTACAATGGATTTGTATAATGTCATGTCTCATAAGATACTTCAGTTGAAATCAAGTGAATGCTTTTTGGCACTGTGGCCGTCTTTAACATTACAATACCTATGGAGGTGGTTTGCAACAGGCCAAGTTTTACCTGGGCTGCTGCTGAGACCCGTCAGAGCCTCTAGAGCACTTTTCTGAACTTTGCCACTGCCGATTACATTCCTGAAAACCTCAGGACAGCCGGCGGGTGAGGAGGAAGAGTCACCACTGCAGATCCTTAACAATGACACAACTGCAGTGACAATTACAGCTGGAGGACAGGGGAGTAAGTCAGGAGGCTGAGGGAAGAAAAGAGAGACGGTGACGGTTAAGAAATAAAGTCCATTTCCTCCTCTGTATTCTCAGATGTCTCTGCAGTCTCACCACGAGCGTGATCTGTGGTGTGTTTGTCAGACAGACACAGATGATAGAGATGCAGGGGGTTTTACTCTTCAGCTGCTCCACCACTGAAAACTGATGCTCTTCTACTGCAGGAAGAGAAACAGATAATGTATAAGCCACATAGATGCTAAACAACACACTTTCAGGAGTATGTGTATATCTCCGTGTGTTACCTTCAGTGTTTGTGCCAAGAAGAGCCTGACCAGTTATTATGTCGAGGGGTAGCAGTAGTATTCTCACAGCCCGGGCTGTGTGGACAGTGTCCCTGAACAGGAACACAGGAAAAAGAAACTAATCTCGAGAATCAAGCCTCTACAAACTGAGGTTGTGGTGGTGAGGCCGAACCAGCATGCTGTGAGAGTGTGAAGTTATTCTGCTTACTGATGGCCTCTGCGGAGGAAAGCAGCTGCAGCCTGAATGAGGTCAGAGGGTTTGTTCATAGCCAACATGGACGACAGAAGACGGGTGACGTGTCGGTCTGGGACGCATTCATCAGAGCTGGAGGTGCTGAAGACAGATGTCAGAATCAGATCAGTAGTATTTTGACTTACTTTGAACTTAGTCATTCTGAGTTGTCCACGATGGAGAGGAGCTTTTGACGACATCCTCCTCTCCATGACTACAAGAAGAGGGCCGAGCTTCAAACCCGAGGACTGAGGAAAACATGGAGAAACATTTAAAGCTGAACCCACTCATTAGAGGTTGCCTTGATTTTATTATCGTCACAGCACTTTTTTTTTTTTCTTTTTACATAATGTTTATGCAGCAGCAGTTTTATCAGTTTACAGATGTGTCCCAAATCCATACTGCATAATCAATTCTCGATTTGGGAATGTGCTGTTGATGGACATCGTTTTGTCCCCCATCCTCCTCACCATCTGTGTCAATATGACTGATCTCTGTCATCTGTGTAAAGTCAGAGCGACACATAAAGCCCAGATTATTTTACCCGGACTCCCAGCATGCTTTGCACAAGGAGTTCAAGTTACTTTCATCAGGTTTTACCTCCGCTGACAATTACATGAACCATTTTATCAGCTATTAGATTTTTAGACAAAGTGTAAACTGGCCAATCAGTTTTTTGTGGATGGAACCTGGTTGCACCCTAATTTTCATTCTCCTGTATTTTTTCTCAGTTTTGGGGATCGAATTGTGTATCATGTGTATTTTTTTAATTTATTGTCATTGTTGCATATATTGCCACATTTATTGTTCACGTGACAACTGTCTTCAAACCAAATTGCCCCTAGGAAACATTAAAGCTCTTTAAAGCTCTGCTCGACTGTGTCTGCATCCACATGAGAGAGCTGGTCTACCTGTATGCAGCCAGAACAATGTCCATCAGAGGCAGCGTGAGTTGACTGTAGCCGGCTGTCACCAGCTCCTCCAGGGGGTCTGCGACTGTCTGGAGCAGCTGGTCCCGGAGACGAGGTCTGGCCTGGGTCAGGAGCAGGCCCAGCAGTTTGAGGGTCTGCAGGCTCCGACGGAGCCGTGTGTTTTCTGTGGGAACCAGTGACTCCTTGAGGTACTTTGAGGTCGCCACGACAACAGCAGTGTAATCTTGGCTGGTTTTCATGGTGACAACTGAGCGCTCTATGTCTGTGATGGAGGCTTGTGTCTTCTCGTCGTCCCCGTGCTTCTTACCCACGCCGTTACATCCTGCAGACAACACTGGCTGAAAGAACAGCAGGATGTGGGCGAGCATTTGATTGGCAGCTGAGGCAACAAATAGACTTGTGTCTGTCTGGAGTCGTAGGAGCGGCGCAATGAAATCTGGAAAATCAAACACAAAAAGCACCTGTATCAGGATGCGTCAGAATTTAAATCATGATGTGGTAAATTTGTGGCCTACAGTGAATCTTCAGTCCTTAATATTTGCTGTCTCTCTCTCATTAAATTGTCTTCTTGAACAATATAAAGTGTGAGGAGAAGAGGTCTCGTTTCCTACATGATGAGTCACCTGCTTGTACGAAGAAACTGAGAGCCTTTGAGTGCTGCAGCATGCTCCTTAAGCCCTGAATCCAGCCAATCCGTATACAGGGATCCTCCCAGAGACCCGCTTCATGCCAGTGCTGATGGTTAAAGGCAAGGTCCAGAACAGAGCACTCCTGCAGCAGGAGGGGGTGGGGGGTGGGGGGCATCACCAGAGTCAGATTACAGTCAGTGCCGGTTGGCTTTAGAGCAAGTTGTGATAACAGATTAGTAAAAGGTACAAAGTGTCATAACTTCTACCTGAAGCATTTTGAAGCCGTCCTCAGTGGCAGCCATTAAACCGGAGAGTTTGAGAGTGAAGGAGATGACCGCGGGGTCTGATGATGTTTTGTGAACCACAGAGGACATGAACTCAAGTAGACATGGGTAGGCCTTCAGCAGAGATCCCCCTTCATCAGGGGAAAAAAAATGGACATGAAGCAGAGATACAGATTTATTATACATCAATCTATCCAGGGCTGGAACAACCCTCAAGAGAAACTGTTTAGGAATATGCACCATGTAAGCATAATATCAAGAGAAATAATAAAGGTACCCCTCCCATCCACAATGCAGGAGCCATCTCAAGGACTTTTAGAATTTCGTTTAGAGTTGAAACAATCAGCCGATTAGTCAATTAGTCGATTGACAGAAAATGAATCTGCTATTTTTTGATAACTGATTATTCTTGTCGGTCACTTTTCAAGCAAAAATGCCAAACAACCACTGATCCCAGCTTCTCAAATTCAGACCTGAAACTGTTGGTACATTAATCGAGTAATCAAATGATAAAAAATTTTTTAAGTACCCGCAGCTATTTTGATAATCGATCAATAATCTCTGGTTCAAATTTGTCAGTTGATTATAGTGAATATATTTTGGAAAGTTGGATGAACAAAGAAAGCAATTTTAATATTTTACCTTCAGATCTGGGAGGTTAAGACGAGGACTGTCTCTATTGTCTAACATTTTATAGATTAAACAATTAGTTGAAAAAATAATAGTCAATGATAATAATTGGTGATGAAAGCAACTGTAGTCTGTGATGGAGGCAGCTCAGTTTCAGCTGATGCTGTGATTTAGTGGTGCACATTTTTTAACCATAGCCACATGAAAACTCCCTCGGGTTTGTTTTTTCAGTTGTGCAGCAGTCCTGAAGGTATTTTGCAGATATTTAGCAGGATAATGAACTGTCATAAACCTTTAACCTTTGGGGATTTGGTAACCCAGCCTTGTATCTAAACAGCTAATTTTAAAACCACTTCAATTCACTTCTCACAACAATAACTCCAGTCTTTGGATCCACAAAGTGTCTAAAAAACAGCACACACCTTGAGAGGTCAGAGAGAGAGAAATGGAGTTGGTGGAAGTGTAGGAAAGCAGCAGCAGGGGAGGACAGGAGTTCAGTACTAACCAGCTTCAGTGAGCCCTGTGAACCAGTCCAGCAGTTTCTCCAGGCTGGTGTCATCGGGCAGAGACCTCCCCGAGTTCCCCAGCACCTCGCAGACCCGGGGCAGCAGCGACACACACTCTCTGTCCATGGTTCTAACTAACCTCTGTGTTGTGTGTGTGTGTGTGTCGGTGTGTGTGTTAATAAACCCTCTGGATGGTTTGCAGCAGACAGGTCACTGATAACGTCACAGCATACACATATCTGGAAATATAGCAGGAATATAGCTAAGTTTTGTAGTGTAGCTAAAACAAATATAAACCTGTGGTGGGTGTTTTCTGGTAGTTTTAGTACACGTCCATCTCGCGGGAAATAGTTTCGGATGTGCCGGTGTGTGGCTTCCCTCTTCTTTCTTGGTTCAGTGTAAAATGTGAAGGTTGTAATTAAAGGCAGCGGCGCAGTTTCCTGATCTGTACACATGTGGATAGGTCAAATTGTATATCCGAGCACCACATACCGCCGGTCCCCATGGTTTACGACTTTACGCTTCCCGTGCAGCGCGTCTTGCCTCCGATCAGGTTCCGGTGTTACGTTTCCGTCGCATCGTCCATTTTCACGTAGTCGCACATGGTGCCACACCGGCCGAACACCGCCAGCCTCTTCGTTTTTAGGATTTTTGCTCCGTTGTAGCGAGAAATCCGTCTCGTACTGCTGTTAAATGCAAGATACGGTGGATATGGTGGACGACCCCGAGTATGAAGAGGAGGAGCCTTCCTTCAGCGACCCCGAGGACTTCGTGGATGATGTCGAGGATGAGGGTGAGCGGCAGCAGGAAAAACGCCGGCTTTCTGGCCTATTGCTAACAGTTAGCTAAGAGCTGTACTAACGGGCTCAATGGTGGGGGTACTACAGATGCTAGGAAGCTCGCTTGTCACTTTGCCCAACAGACTACTTAGTAATCGTAGGAGACTGACTACGCAACAATAGTAACCAGTTATAAAGAAACTCCCCCATTTGAATTGAAAGTAATCTCAAATCCAGCTAACATTAGCCGATGTTATCTCAGTTCATTTAACGCCCACTGACGCCTCACCCAGACCCCAGACAACCTCTCAACCGTGGCCTTGTCGCTGTTATTTGGGGAATTTAAAACGCATATTAGCAAGTTGAAGCTAACGGGAAACATTTTCTAGCAGATGAATGAAAATTAAGGCCGAGACCTCCACTGCGACCCTGCAGTCCGTGGTTTGCATGAAGCAGCTGGTAATAAAAGATAGGTTTCACATCCGTAAAACGTTAATCCTCACCCTGAGTGGAGGGGAGTTGGCTCTCAACCCTTCACATAAAACGTGAACTAACTGCACATCAGTTTGACCCCAGTCTTGTCCTTAACTAAGGTGTTTTGTGGTATTGCTTGTCCAAAACAGACTCCAGGGATTTCTGGAAATTCCTCAGCTTAATGAGAAATTGAGTAATACACTGAGCTGCCAGGGAATTAGCTCCACGTAGTTAAATACAGTCTAAGATAACAGACCTGCAGTAAATCTACCGTTAGACTGGTTATAATATTCAGGCTTTGTAGAAACTGATTTTAGAGAGGTTTTGTTTTAACTTAATGGTGAACTAAGGCTGTTGTATGTGGTGCTATTGAATCTAGAGCAGCCACTAATGATTATTTTTATTTTCAAGTAACTGATTACTTTCTCAATTACTCATTTGGTCAATAAAATCCAAGAAAAAAAAATCACACAAAGCCCAAAGACATCTCAGTAACTGTGATATATGACAAAGAAAAGTATCAAATACTCACATTTGTGAAGCAGGAGACAAAAGTATTTTTAGCTTTTGCCTGAAATATAATTGACATCAATTAACTGCCTAAATATTGTAGTTCAAATTGTATCCTACTTATTTGTACTGAAATAACATTTCGTTAACGCATTTGTGTCAATGATGGAGGCCACATAATAAAGTCACTTCTCTGTATATAGTTCACCAGTGCCATAAACTACTGCCACTCTTGCATTGAACTGTATTTGTTTTAGCAAGGTGTCCCTAATTAATTGTGTGGTTTATCATTCACTTTAAAAAAGTTAGTAATTTAGTCCATGGGTGACTATGTTCATCACAGTGCACCATCACTGGGACAGTTACTTTTACAGTTTTGACAGACCATCATAACAATGACCACGTGGTATCTTCCAAAGGATGTCAGCTGTCTTGTGTAGTTTTGAATTTAAGAGGCCATGAAAATGTATTGGGAGGCCCCCAGACCTATCAGATAAGAGATTAACATCAATGCTGCACACCCTGATCCCCCTCCTTCTCCTCTTCTCTTCAGAGCTCCTGGATGACATCCTGAGGGAGAAGCCCCAGGAGGCTGACGGCATAGACTCGGTGGTGGTGGTGGACAACGTTCCTCAGGTGGGACCAGAACGTTTGGAGAAACTCAAGAACGTCATACACAAGATTTTCTCCAAGTTTGGCAAGATCACTACTGAGTTCTACCCAGAGGCTGATGGTCTGACCAAAGGGTATGATCCTGTCGTCTCATACGTGTGATTGGTTTCTGTTCTGTTATGCCTCTGTACTGCCTTAATGTTGAGTTTTAGGATGTAAAACATACTCTCTTTTTTTTCATGTAGGTACATCTTCCTGGAATATGCTGCTCCTACTCAGGCCCTCGAGGCAGTGAAGAATGCAGATGGATACAAACTCGATAAACAGCATACATTCAGGGTCAACCTCTTCACCGACTTTGACAAGTGAGTGTGCGTTGTCAAGCAAGACATGCCGTAAATGTAAATACAGATGTGTAGGATACAAGAAGATTAACTTTCTGTCCTCGTTTTCTCAGGTACATGAACATCAGTGATGAGTGGGAAACTCCAGAGAAGCAGCCTTTCAAAGATTTTGTGAGTGTTTGCTGTAACAGATTCTCTTTACTATTCATTGTCTTAATTTTGGTAAACATGTAACCCACATGGCCATTTTGACACAACCCTATTAAAATGGCCGCCCAATTTTAACAAGCCAAATAAAATGTCAGAATGCTTTAAGCTCCATTAACTCTGAACGTTTGTCTGTTCAGGGTAATATGCGTCACTGGATTGAGGACCCAGACTGTCGTGACCAGTACAGTGTGATCTACGAAGCTGGAGAGAGGACCGCCATTTTTTCCAATGATGCTAAGGAACCAATCACAGTCGAAGAGAGAGCAGTAAGTAGTTGATCACACCTGGAAATGCAGGACTTAAAGAGTCTTATCAAACATGATTCATCTGCACTGGTTGGTTTGCCGACTAACTTTGTCTTTGTGTCTCGATGCAGCGCTGGACAGAGACGTACGTGCGCTGGTCTCCCAAAGGCACCTATCTGGCCACATTCCACCAACGTGGCATTGCATTGTGGGGTGGCGAGAAGTTCAAACAGATTCAGAGGTTCAGCCATCAGGGCGTGTCCCTCATCGACTTCTCACCATGTGAGAGGTAATGAGCATTTCTTTTTAGCAGCACTGACACTTTGGTACCTGACAAGGTGCATTTTACATGCATGTGTGTACATAGATGCACATAGATGCACTATGAACTAGATTCACATAAAAGTCTGATTAAATTTTTTCTGCTTTTTAAAAACGTGCACAGACATTGAGCTAGTGCCTTCATCGGCACACAGCAGCATTTTCTTATTTAGAAAGAAAACCAATAGAATATAATTTAAAAAGATAAAGCATTTATAATTAATCTCGTGCGGTCTTGTATCTCATGGTTTATGACAATGATCTGGCGATGGCGTGAGATGCGGTATCGTATGATGGATCATTTCTGAAACCTACATGTGTGGTTGTGATGCCATGCAGGTATGTGGTGACCTTCAGTCCACTGATGGACACCAAGGAGGACCCGCAGGCCATCATCATCTGGGACATTCTGACCGGACAGAAGAAGAGAGGCTTCCACTGCGAGAGCTCTGCACACTGGCCCATATTTAAGTCAGTTCACTACATCCTTCTCTTTTCTTTTAGAAAATTGTACTCAATTTCAACATCACTGATTTTGCATTTTTAGTGTTGTGGCGGTTTGAATGGACTCTAATGTTATTTCTTTGTTCTCAGATGGAGCCATGATGGAAAGTTCTTTGCCAGGATGACCCCTGACACGCTGAGCATCTATGAAACTCCAGTAAGTAGACTTACGAAAAGCATGATGCTGCTGTTTTTGTAAAGTGTGCAAGTGACATTACAGCCATGTTTCTGCTCCTTCCAGTCTATGGGCTTGCTCGACAAGAAGAGTCTCAAGATTACCGGGATCAAGTAAGAGTCCTTGTTAATGATTTCATGAATTGCTTCTTATAATTACACGTCAATTGTGAGAATGTTCTGTGTGGATATTTTGACAAGACTTTGCATGTTTGTGTCTACAGGGACTTCTCATGGTCTCCTGGTGACAACATCATAGCATTCTGGGTACCTGAGGACAAAGACATCCCAGCCAGAGTGACTCTGATGCAGTTGCCTTCCCGTCAGGAGATCAGGGTCCGCAACCTCTTCAACGTTGTCGACTGCAAACTGCACTGGCAGAGGAACGGGGATTACCTGTGTGTGAAAGTGGACAGGACTCCTAAAGGAACACAGGTACACAGAGGGAGAGAGAAGGAGGGGGAACAGACGGAAGCTGACTGATTAAAAATGAAATGCTAAACCTAGTGGTTGTTTTTTTTTCTTTTTCAGGGCGTGGTTACCAACTTTGAAATCTTCCGCATGAGAGAGAAGCAGGTTCCTGTTGATGTGGTGGAGATGAAGGGTAAGAACAAAACAAACACAAAAAGTAACTGTGGTTGTTTCCTAATGAAAAAAAGAACCCTGATCTATTGTTTGATATTTGTGTTTCCAGAAAGCATCATAGCTTTTGCATGGGAGCCCAACGGCAGCAAGTTTGCTGTTCTCCACGGAGAGTCTCCCAGAATCAACGCCTCCTTCTATCATGTCAAAAACAACGGCAAGATTGAACTCATAAGTGAGTAGATCGGACACACATGCGGACTGTCCTGTTGACACTATGTTACACATTCAACGACACCCCATAAACGTCCACTGAATGTGCCGTCGTGTCCTTTATCTACAGAGATGTTTGACAAGCAGCAGGCCAACAGCATCTTCTGGAGCCCCCAGGGACAGTTCATGGTGCTGGCTGGACTCAGGAGGTCAGTTAAATCTGTATGTGTGTGGGGAACGACACAAGAAGCCGATGATGACAAACTAAATAACTTTTCTGACACCTCGTATGAGAGCTACGCTCCTGATTCTAACTCTGGTCTGAGGCTCACAGTATTTGCTCTTGTGTGTGTGTGTGTGTGTGTGTGTGTGTGTCT